GCAATGGCCTCCAACCTAATAGCAATGGCCTCCAACCTAATAGCAATGGCCTCCAAGCTAATAGCAATGGCCTCCAACCTAATTGCAATGTCCTCCAACCTAATAGCGAAGGCCTCCAATCCAATAGAGATGGTCTCCGACCTACTAGGATGGCCTCCAACCTGCTAGCCAGGATTAAATGAGGATGCACATGTTCGGACTTTTCATAGTACCAAGGCCACAGTTGTACTATGGCATAAGTTGGATGATTCACTTGAGTCCCAAAGTTGCGTTGGTCGACGGTTTGACAGTCCACGTGGCTTTCGAGGATTCGATGTGGTGATAGCGAAGACCTTTGTCTTGAGGCTGCAGGTGGGCCCACGAACCAAAAGTACTTCGATGAGACTTGGAGATGGGATTGGGCGGCCTTTGAGAACTTTAAGCATTTTGACTTGCTGACTGGGTCTGCATCACAGTTCTCAGCTTCAGGAGATCTTTGAGAAATGCATGAATTACCACCTCGAGCTTTGATAAAGAACACGAAGCTGTTTCAGTCCATCCAGGTGCATGGGACCCATCTTAGAGACAAAGGAAGGCGCAGATTCCGCTGTTTCGACGCAGGCTTCACGGCTTCTTCCGAGACACGGTCTCGTCGGTCCTGGTCGATGACCGCGGCGGACGAGGAGAGGATGGAGAGGCCCTCGTTGGGGGCCCGGGACCCGTTTTGGTGAGAGAGGTTGAAGACACATGAGGACACCAGGCTTCAGATAAGGAGGGCCCTTTGGATAGTGTTGCAGGTTTCCAGCTTCAAAGCCGTGAAAGGAGCCACGTTTGATTTACACAGTTACTTCAAAAGCAGATGCGTTTTGGTCTGTAGCTGTCTGGCTCTGCAGTGTGGGTTTTGCCAGCGGTGCTTTTGCGTTGGTTTTTCAAAGTGGGCAGAGATGGTTCACTACCCTGATGAGATCGAGTATTCGGAGAAGTACCAGGATGACAAGTATGAGTACCGCCATGTTCTGCTGAACAAACTGGCAGCAAAGGAGGTGTGGAAATTGACCGATGGCATGAAGCGCTTGCTGCGTGAAGAGGAGTGGCGCGGTGTGGGAGTACAACAGAGTCGTGGATGGGTTCACTACGAATTCCACCGCCCAGAGCCCCACATCTTGCTCTTCAGGCGCGAGATTGGAACTGATCCCGTGACCGGCAAGAAGCCTGCGGCAGCATGATGCGCACTTTTGAAGTGGATACAGTTTTCAGTGCCACTCTCGGTCATGCGAAAGGCAGATTGCCGATTGCAGATTTGTCTTGGAAAGAACCAGAAGAATACTGTAGATAGCAATACACAGTGTTCTAGAAGCTTCATTACTTTGCTTGTCATGCTTGCCCAATGGTGTCAAAAGACTCGACCTTGACCTAGGAGAGTGACACAGTACAGATATTTCCTGTGGGGTATGGTGGGGAAATGCTGAATTAGATTGCGCCCGTAGATTTGTCTACGGATTGCAGCGCACTAGTCACTAGTGGTCACTTTGGCGTGGCGGAAGGCACATCAACAACTCAAGATACAATCACAGTCACATCACCTCAAAGCTGTAGAAAGAGTCCTTGACACTATCCTTGCCATGTGCCGTGATCAGTGCCACATCTCAGACTTACATTAGGCTTAGTTTCCTCTGCAGACTATCAGTGCACAGAGCCAAAATATGCGGGGGGCGACATTTCTTCCTCTGCGATCTCATCCTTCTGACCATCCTTTCTTTTAAGCTTTCAGATTCCATGAGCTGAAATTCGTCACATACGCCACCAGCAATTTCTTCTTCCGGAGGTGAAGACCGCAAGGAAGCCCTCACGATGAGACGCGGGCGGCTCCCTCTCAGCAAATTTGCCTCAGGGTTCGGATTCTGCCATGGTGGAGATGGTCATGTTCCACCAGCTTCGAGAAATTCGGACAGCACAAAGATACAAAACACCTGACTCTCAAGCATTTTCCAGATCGTGTGGAAAAAGCTGCGAGCTGCTGTTGCAATGCTATGGTTTTTCAGACGAGTTTTGTTTAATACCAACAGCACCTACTGTACAAACTGTTCCATTGGGCATTAGGCTGACTCGGTAGGTGAAAATGACACGACTAGAGCGAAGAATATCTACTGTATTTCTACCCTACCTGAATGCCCTAAGAGGTCTCCAAAGTTTAGAAGATTGCCAATCCTCCCCGCTCAGGTCCGTTGAGAAAGGTTTGTGCCTCTTGATCTCAGATCCCACAAACCCAGCCTGCCAGGCGCTTGTGCAGCACCTCGGGACGTCGTGCTGAGCAAGAAAAGATCGCACCAGAAACTCTTGGTGGGATACAAAGGATGCATATTTACAAAGGGATGCGGAGAGACAGTCAATGATATATAGTATGATATAGTCTTAATTTGTGCAAAAAGCAACACAGGCCCCACGGTGGGCAGCTCTCTATTTCCCATATGTTGTCTCTTATGACCGCAGCCAAGAACGCCAAACCGCAGGGCGCCGCGGTAGTGTTTCTCTTTTTAAGTCTGGTCGGTGGGCTGCTGTGGCCCATGACCCTCACATGGCACCTTTACTACTTCCTCCTTTTGAGCCACCATGTGATGGCTGATGTCATGACAGCACTGGCAGGATTGACCACAAATTTGTGCTGTTCAGAAGAACATCTTTAATAAGGCTCAAGTGAGTCAGAGAGTGCTGATTCAAGTTGTGCAGGAGACGATGAATGCTTGGCCAATGGATGCTCCACTGATCTTTTGCAGGTCAACCGAAGTTCAGGCATGCACATTCATTTTTTGTCCATGGAAGGAATGCAGGCAACCGATGGTCGAGAAACGTGTTTTTTGAGAACGAGTTGAGAAAGAGTCAAGAAGTAGAGCATGTACTGTATGCACTGCTCCAGAGCGGAAACCTTTGGGTAGAGCATTGTCAGCAGGCAAGCACGACACCCTACCCACGTCTGGTGCTCCAAATGCCACTGCTCCGTCAAGCAGCTTTGGCAATGCAAGCCACATGGGCAATGCAAGCCATGCATCCAATATGACTGACGGTGACCTGACGTTGAAATCCGGTTGGGTTGGCTGCTGGTACTACGGCTGTCGTGGGTGCGCTCGGGGAGCTTGTCGATCTCACATTGAGCAATATTATTTTGCCAAGAAAGCTCAGAAATGTCATAAGAGTCTGAACCAATCAGGGTTTGGACATGTTTGGACTGTTTGTTGCATGCTTTGACAATTGTCGGTTTGTGGCATGGCCGTCCTGACTTGAGCCACTGAACCCATCCAGGAGCTACCATCCAGAGTTCTACTGCCAATGCAATTCGGGCTGTGTCAGGTATGGGACACTTCGGCCACGATGTTCATCGATTCGGGTTCGTGTTTTCGTTGAACACTCAGTAAAGGCTTGGATTCGCTTAGATCAACATTTGGGTATATAATACGGTAGATTATAGGGATTGCATGGTGCTGACTGGGCCCTCTTCTTGAAGAGTTTGCAACATGCAATCCGTGCGATTTTGGTCACAAGCTTTTGTCAATCAGTTTGAATGTCTTCTTTAGTGCTGCAGTACTATGAACTGCTCATGCCCACTGTGAACGATTTCCCATTTTTCATGCGGACCCGGGGACGCGTATAAGAAGAACAGAATCCACACCTGTGAAACTCAAGTATCAAGCATGCCAAGCTGTCTGACAATTACGACATAACCAGTGAAACCAAGAGGGAAGCCTCCACAGTTGCCACGAGAATCCATAGGCTACCGCCGCTAGAGATCATAGGGTTGCAGTAGAAGGCTGCAGGTCGGAGATCGAGGTCAGAAGGCAGATTTAGCCATCGGGGAATGGGAGGTACGGGTTGGACTTGGAAAACCTTGCATTTTTGGCCTTGTTTGGATGCATTGCCAGTTCTGTGCAGAAAGCACGAGGAATTGCTGTGGAGACTTCAGCCGCAAGTGTTGGTGGATGGCACGTCCCAAGCCGCGCCCACGACCAAAGCCCAGACCGAAGCCCAGACCACGACCACAGCCACAGCCACAACCATCTCCGCCACCCACACCATCATGGTCTCCTTCTCCACCCTCTGGCGGCTTGGTGACGGTGTATCATCAAACCAGCCCACAAGCCTGCCAGCGTCTTGGACGGAAAGGTTGCTGCACAGAAGGGTGAAAACAATGGAAGCTGATGTTGGGTGATTTCCCAAATGAGTTTCCTGAGAACAAAAGGTATCTGAGAGAGTTTGCCTTCAACAAGACCAACCCATCAACTTGCCGTGTCGACCGCGGATTGGTCGCGTTCGGCTTCGTAGCTGAGGGCTATTCTCAAATCCAGCTTCCGTCCTGGTTCGGATGGGCTTTGTGGCGGAGCCATCTACTTTGCAATGTCTCCCGAGGCCGATGTCGGACCGAACACAGATGAGAACGAGACGACACCTTTTATGTATAAAGCTGGTGCCAATCGGTACTTCGATTCTTCGATTCGTGTTTCCAAAGCATATTTTAGTGATGAAAGACGAAATATGACTTCAAACATCTTTTTTCACCCCGATCGAAGCCATTGCGGTGTGGCTTTGCCTTGGAAAGGCGACGAAGACCAAGGCGATCCAAAGTGGCTGCGTCATTGAGGTGTGAGGTTTCAGAACTTCTGTATCGCGAGCCGTTCTTGGGTCGGAAAAACACGAACTGAATGAGCTGAATGAGAAGTGTGAATCTGTAGTAAGTTCAAGCTCCACTCTTTGGAGAAGGAGTGTAAGATCTGCAAGAATACAAGGCTTGAAGCAATCAGACAGGCTGACACAGTGCAAACCGGTGAAAATTGCACAGCGTTTGGAGATTGGGTCGTTGAAGGCGAAAGTCGATGTTGGCCGGGTGAAGTACGAAGGCCCTAGGTGTGGGCACAAATGGAACAAGGCTGGACCTTGATACGAGCTTGCAGCTTTAGTGCATGTGTTTTTACTTTCCAGCCTCTGTCTATCTACGTCCTTTTTATAGTGCTTCAGTGAGTTTGTTTTGATCTGTTTTGCTTACATGTCGATTCCAGTTCACAGGGTGAGCTGAAGTCGGAGGGATATGATTCCATTGAATTTGACCCTGGTGACGGAAAAGAAGTGGTGATTTTCGATAGCTGGAGGGTGCCTGGGATTGTGCAACTAATACGTTTTACCTGGAATTGTGCTACTTTGTTTTTCAAGTCTTTTCGATTCAGAGTTTGTGATGCTGGAAGCAATGGCTAAGGTCAAGAGCATGAAGGAGATTAGATACAATCCGGCATGGAAGCCAGAATATCGAGTCCGATAGCATAGCCGGCGACTTTCTGGCGGAAGCAACCAAATCCTGAAAGCCGAGGTTTAGTCTAGGCCAGGGTGAATCCTCAAAGACCCTGAAAGCCTACAACCATGAAGGACGGCTCTTTTGAATATAGACTTGAGATCTTCCCTCACAAAAGAGCCACGCTTCCAAAGTGTTTTGTGCACCTGACAATGCAATGAACCAAAATGAACCAAACACTGGGAACCCATTGTTAAAATTGTCATATTTGGTGAATGACGATATGTTCAGGTGCTAGCAGGAATAGCTTAGCTTCATGAGCAAAGACGAAACTACGTCGATGCTTAGCCCAGCTGCATGCGCTAGTGGTCTGGTTTTCCCGTCCTTGGACCTTGCTTGTGGCTGGTTCCCGGACACTCTCCCACAGCGGTTCTGAAAAGCGTCGCAGATTGAAATCAAAATATTTGAATCCAACTCTTCTTGTTACTAGTAGCGATGCCCTTTGTTCCTGGTAGCTTTTTGTTACTAGTAGTAAGGCCAGGAGCTACTAGTAGCGTCCTTGCTGCTGAAAGATACCATGAATCACACGAGCACTACAAAGGGAAACAATGCGCTCTGCAGCCACGGCTCAAGCTGCATGCTTACGAGCCAGCGACTCACTTTGGCGAGGAGAAGCCGCTCGCTTCAAGAACCCACTGGGCCGATTGGGAGAATCCGGAAGAATCCGACTGGTTCAAGTTCAATCGAATCTTGATCGCTCCTGCTGATCCTTCAAGTCTTGTCAACCTGGCACTACGCAAGCGCAAGCTTGATTCAGAAAACTTCCACTTTTCTGGACTGAGAGTTCAGACTCACATGCTGCTAGGCCATGCTGCTAGGCCGTGCAGCGATCAATGGTGCCCCTGCCCGTGCCGCAATGGTGCGCCACTGTGGGTTGCTGCCTTAGCCCGCCTATGAACCGTTGAGAATGCCGGCTAAAATCAAAGGACAGATCAGACAGATGCTGTCGGCACTGTTGCACGGTTCATCCACCAGCAACAGCACCAGAAAGCAAAGAAGCAGATCAAGCCACGACAGCCTCACATCCCATGTATCGCATTAGCTGAAGCTTACAGAGAGCTTGTCGTGGGTGCTGGAGCTCGGAAGGAAACCTGGCGGCTGATGATAGTTGGGGACAGGAGGACTGACAACTGTTTTCAAAAAAGGCTGACAAGTACCGGGCTGGTGTGTAGTTGGCAAGATGGTGTGGAAGACATTGCAAGCAACTACAACGCAGGTACAACAGTTGTCGAAGCTGGTTCAATTGGTTGGGAACAACATTGAACTTGAACATTGGCATGAGTTGAGTTGGTTGCGCAACAAGTTGAGCGTTGTGTTGAGTTGTGACACCTATGAGCGTGGGCTCTGGGGATGGTTGTTGACACAACTTGTGCAGTTGAGCGGCGATCCAGATGTTGAAGCGGCTTCTTGGCCTGAGAAGGGAACAGTGCTGGGAATCGTGAATGAAATACCCGCTTCCCGAAACTGGAAGAAGACGGAAGCTCGCAAGCTAGATCAACTCAAATTATCGGTCCTATGCGGAATCGCAGGCAGCTGCGGACGGGCTCTTTCAGGGGCTGGGCGGGAGCTTTGTTTTCTGGAACCGTGACAGAAGCAAGCTGGGAGAAGATGGTGCAATCAGCCATTGGATACATCGCCAAGCAGAGGATGGACGGAACTGTCAAGGGACATGATCTTCGCAGGAGTCATGTGAACGAGCGCATTGAGTTCGAGGAGCGGCTAGTTCTGCCAAGAATGAAAGATGCTCTTGAGGACGTGCTCCGACTGCTGGAGATCAAAGAAGGCCACGAGCAAGTGAAGTTCATGAGTTTGGACTTTGCAGACGCCTTCAAGCATCTACAGGTGAGACCGAACGAGATGAGGTTCTTGTCAGGCACCGCATTGGGGTTATTTTGTGTACCGGACAGTGCTGTTTAGCGTCCGAACAGGCCGGTTGGTTTGGGGGCCTGTATGGCTGGATCGGGAGGGCAGCTCAAGCAAGTTTCATTCAGATCGATGTCGGTTGCAGATCTTGGTGGATGATCCCTTGTTAGTGGCGAGAGGTTCAACAGAACAGATCTCAAACGTGTTCAGTACAGTCTTGATGTGGTGGATGGC